GTTTTCTTTATTGTTTCTATTTCTACTTTCAAGTCTTGAATTGCTTTCACTATTTCATTCCATTGTTTGTGCTTTCAGAGTTCATTGAATAATTTTTCATATCCTCTTTAATATTCTTGAATATGTTCCTAAATTATTTTGATGTGCTTATTTTGTGCTTCAGTTGTATTGCATTTCTCGGGGCCTACTGTAATAGAGTTACTGGGTTCTAATGGACACATATTGTCTTGGCCACTAATGTCTGAATTTCTGCACCGAAGTCTAGGCATCTAAATTCTGGATGACTATGATTCCAGGTGTTTATAACTGTTCTTGTCTTTGTTGGGTGGGTATTCCATTATTGGTTTCTTTTCTAGATCTTAGGACAGTGTGGTAGCTATGGCTTGCCTGGTAAGGAGTATAGAAGTCCCTGTCAGGCATTGCGACTGGGAGGAGGGGAAGGCTGGGTAGAACTTGCTTCTAGGTATGAGGATCTGAAATGAAGGAATAAAGATGTGATAGGAGGGAGTAGGACTGAAAGGGTCCACAGGGAGGAGGAAAGCTGGGTCTACCATGAGGTTTGGTAGAGTACCATAGGAGTAGGGTCAGAGAGGAAGGAATCATTCTTGCAAGCCATCTACTAAGAGTTGGGGGGTGAGACTAAAAATTATTTTCAATGAACAAGAAGAACAGTGCACATCACCTACCTGATCTACAAGCCAGTACAGCAAACTTTCTCATCAGTGGCCAGCTCACAAACAACCACACAGAGACTTAGTATGAAATTTTGGTCTTAGCTTAAGCTTGTTTTAACTAGCTTGTATAACTTAAATTAACCCATTTATATTAATCTACATTTTGCCATGTGGCATTAACCTCTCTTCCATCTTTACCTCCTGTTTCCTCTCCTTGTCTGGCTGGCAACTCTGTCTTTTTTCTTCCCAGAGTTCTTTTTCTCCCAGTAAGTCTTGCCTATATCTCTTCCTACCTAGCTATTGTTCACTCAGCTCTTTATTAAACCAACCACAACAATATATATTCACACAGTATACAAATACCCCACAACAGGCCAGCATAACCATCATGTTCCCAGGTAGAAAGAGCTTCTGCATCTTGATGGCTGACAGAAAGGGACAGTGTGAGGGGGTAAGGTTGACTCTGCTGCTAAGTTCTACAGAGTCCCCAGAGAATGAGGCAAAGGGGAGCATAGGACAAAGGACTGGGCTGGTGTACAGGATGTGCTTCCTGGCCCATGCCTAGAGTGTGGGTAGAAAGGTTGGCTGTGATATGGAATGGTTGGATGTGATATGGAAAGGACCTATGGGCTGGGGAACAGTTAGGAAGACTCCTGGAAGAAGCCTAGAGATCAGCATGGCACAGTAGGTGAGGCTAGACTAGACCAAGGTACTATATGTGGAGGTCAGGGAAACTCACCTGGCTAGACCCTAGAAAAGGAAGGGAAGTTCTAGCAGGGTAAAAAGGTTGGATTTGGTGCAGAAGGGACCTGAGGATGGTAGCAGGTAGGGCATGTCTGAGTGGAAGCCTACAAGGTGCTTCAAGCACAAGTGGGGTGGCCTACAGTACCGGATGTGGGAAATGGGCGAGATCTATTAGGTTGGGGAGGTGTGGCTTTTTTTTTTTTTAAGATTATGATTTTGTAACACACTCATCAGTCTATGTCTGGCCCTAGATTCTGAACATTTCCTGTATTTTTTTTCCTACAAATTTTATACATTTAATGCATTGTGTTTAAATGCATTATCGGAGTCTGGATTTTTACATATAGTATGATGTCTGGGTTGAGGTATATTTTTGTTGTTTTTTAAAATATTATTTATATAAATGTTTTGTTTGCTTATTCTGTTTGTGTACCATGCATGTGCCTGATTCCCAGAGGCCAGAAGAGGGCATCTAATGTTCTGGGGCTGGAGTTACAGATGGCTGTGATGTACCATGTGGGTGCTGAGACTCAAGATCATCTAGAAGAGCAGCTGGTGCTCTTAACCACTGAGCTACCACTCCAACAACCTGAGGTGTTATATAAGTGTTCAGTTGTTTGGTGCCCCTTGATGAGAAGGGTATCCATCTTCCATTGAAATGGTTTGTACTGTTACCAAAAATCAGCGGGGGACTAAGGCTATAGGTTGGTGGCAGAGGCTTAACATGTACTACCTAGGTTCAATTCACAGAACCATTAAATACATACATAAGCAAGTAAGAAATCTACCAGGTATTTGGGTCTATTTCATAGTTTTACCTCTGTTCCATGGATCTGTGGAACTGTCCTGATAGTAGTAAAGCATTGGCTACTATTCACTATATACTATAAGCTTCCACAATGAGAAAACCAATTCCTTGTTTCCTTTTCCTTTTTTTTTTTTTTTTTTGCCAAGACTGTATTAGCTATCCTAGAGTACATTTTAAAATAAGCTTTCCAGTGTCTATAAAAATTCTTGCTAGATAATGTATTAAACCAATAGATCAATATGGGATGGAATCTTTACTGTGTTGAGGTTTCCAGTCTGAATATAGTATACTTAACTCTATTTACATAACTCTTCCTTCCTTTCATTAGCATGTCACAGTTTTCAGTATATAGAACTTCTACATGTTTTTATTATGTATTAGTGTGTGTCTGTCTGTCTGCCAATACAGGCATGGAGATCAGAGGACAATGCACAGGAGTAGTTTCTCTCCTTCCACCATCTGCATCCTGAAAATCAAACTTAGGTCATCAGACTTGCCAACAAATGCCTTAACCACTAAGCCATCTTGCCATCTCCCATATTTAAGTTATTCATGAGCTGGTAGTACAAAGACCAGTTACAGATAGGGTCTCATATATTCACAGGCTGACCCTTAAATTTGCTATGTAGCTGAAGATGGCTACAACATCCTCACCCTAAAGTGCTAGGATTACTGGTAGGCATCACGACTGGTTTATGTAGAGCTGGGATAGAAATGAGACTTCTTACAGTAGTAAGCACACTACTACAAATGCATTTATTTTCTCAGCCCCAGAAGCCTTAAAAGTATTTTAGGATTTTTCCCATACAGACTGTCTTGACATGGACAAAGATATCTTTTCCTTGATTTTCTTCTTTCCTTCCTTCTCTTCTTTGCATCGATTAGAACTTCTAACAGTATAATAATTAACAGCAGTGAGAATGGATCCTTGCCTACAAATCTTAGGGAAAGAATAGATAATTTGCCTACAAATCTTAGGGAAAGATTTCTGTTTCTCACCACTAAGTAGGAAGTTTGTGGTTGCTCTTCATCAAATGTGATAATTCCTCTCATTCTGAATGTGTTTAGTCATTTAACCACAAATGGGCATTAGATTTTACAAAATGCTTTGCCCAACTAACCGATATAATCTTACAATTTTTTCTGTATACCTTGCAAATATAGAGAAAGTTCAAGGCAAGGCTGTTGCAGTGGTTTAAATAAAAATGTCCCTCATAGGCTCATATATTTGAATGTTTAAGGAGTGGAACTATTTGAAAGGATTAGGAGGTGCAGCCTTGTTAGAGTAGATGTGGCCTTAGTAGAGAAAGTGTGCCAGTGGGGGAATGGGTTTTGAGGTTTCAGAAGCCCAAGTCAAACCCAGTGGCTCCCTCTTCTTCCTGATTCCTGCTTATCAGGATGTAGAATGTTCGTCTTCTTCAGCACCATGTCTGCCTATGTGTCTATGCTTCTTGCCACGCTGACAGTGGACTAAACATCTAAAACTATAAGCAAGCCCCATTAAATGCTTTACTATATAAAAATTGTCATGGTTATGGTGTCTCTTTCCAGCAATAGAACACTAAGATAGTTGTTCTATTCTGTTTTGAGGTTTTCTGAGATAGGTGTTTCATAAACTCAGGCTAACCTTGAACTTATGGCAATTCTCTCTCAACCTTAAAAGCACTGAGATTATAGGTGTAGGCTACCATACTCAGTTCAATTTGTAATACTCTGTGTAGAGGGTATGTGTACATGTCATTGTGCTCAAGTGGAGGTCAAAGGACAGGCTGAGAGAGAACTAGTTCTCTCCTTCCACATATAGATAGGTTCTGGGGATCAAACTCAAGTTATCAAACTTAGTGCAAGCGCCCTTACCTGCTGAGCCACCTCACTGATCTACAATATAGAGTATTTTTAAAAGAACATTTTAAGAAAAGAAACAACTAACTGATATAAACACAATCTGATCAGGCAAATGAGGCCTGTAGTGATTTCTTAAACTAAGACCTTAATTTGTCTCACTTTAGCTTACCTAACTGATCAACCATCAACAACAGATCTTAAGTTTAATATAATGTATCAAAGTGGGAAATACCAGTAACAAGTTTTAAGTTGATTCGCAACTTATAAAATATTATTCCTTGAACACTTATACTCGGACATATTACAGCATCATGGTTAAAGTTTTGTCATTTGTCAGCTAATGACTTCAACTAAAAATTCAATTCCTATGTAACTGTCCACATGAGAGAAACCAGAAATATAGATGTCTGAGAATCATCTGTACAACATCTGCATACAGACTTAACAGAGAAGAGTAAGGAGATAAAATGGAAACAAGGGTTCACATAACAGGAACCAATCTTCCATCTGCTGTGGGAGTATCTTCCGCTGCCTCAGCCAATAGTCGCTGAAGCACGAGACCATGGTGCGGCGGGGAGCGCCTTCCGCTCCATCAGCCAATAGCCGCTGAAATACCAGCCCACTGGGGCGTGGTATATTTCTCTTTTAAAAAGATACACAGATCCCGGATCAGGTCTCTTGGTTCCGGCGCTTGGTCCCGGCTCCTGCTCCCGGCTCCTGCTCCAGCGACTAGGCTCCCTTCCTGACGGTTTATGGTGTATGTAAGTTTTACCCCCCAAAATAAATAACCCCTTAAAACATAACTGGTGTGGGATTGATTCGCGGATATCCATCCTTTACTTCCTCAGTGTTGTGATCACAGGAATGAGGCATCACATCCCCAACCAGAACATCTTAACGCATTTTCTTTAGATGCACACTCCCCTTACCTTCCGGAGTTCAACTGTCACTTCATTTCTGTGTCTTCGCATTGTCTACAAATTAAAAAAAAGATCACATTAGTATCAAAGTATTAGTACTGCTAATATGCAAATTGTTTCTTTTAAGAATCAACTTAATCTTCTTAATAGTTTTTGAGGCTTATTTTATATGTATGTTTACCTGAATATATGACTCTGTATCACATGTATACAGTGCTCACAGAGGCCAGAAGAGGGCACTGAATCTCCTAGGACTAGAGAAGAATGCGAGCCACCAAGTGGATGTCAGGAATTGAACCTGTATCTTCTGCAAAATCAGCCAATGCCCCTAACTATTAAGTTGTCTCTTTGGCTCCCAAATTTAATCTTAAAAATTAAAAACTGATGTAGGTATTATTTATTTAATCTGTTTGTTTTTGAGACAAGATCTCACTACATAACCCAGGCTGGCCTTAAATTCAAACTCCTCCTATTTCAGCTCCCTTCCAAGTTCAAAATCATAAGCCTGTCCCACAGCATCTACCTGGTCAATTCTTTTTTAAATAATGAACTAAAAAGATGACATTGTGCCAGGCAGTGGTGGCGCACACCTTTAATCCCAGCACTCAGGAGGCAGAGGCAGGTGGATCCCTGTGAGTTCAAGGCCAGCCTGGTCTACAAAGTGAGTTCCAGGACAGCCAGGGCTAAACAGGGAGATCCTGTCTTGGAGTAGGTGGGGGCTGACATTGTTTTATCAAACATTTGTTGGTTGATTTGTATAAACGGAGGGGTAGATTGGCTATCAATGAACTACTATTCTATCCAAATTGCACCCAAGATTTTGTGTGTGTATGTTTTGTTGTTATTGTTGGTAGTGGTGGTGATGGTTGGTGGGGGTTTGTGCGTGAGCTGTGTCCTCTCTTCTATGTATTTTGCGTAGGAAATCTAAACTGCCTCAAACTCTCCTATCTTGTCTCTTAGCAAATACCACAGAAACGATCACCTGTACTAACTCTTGAGTTCTAAGCAAGGAGGTGCCATTAAATTCCCTAGGAAGAAAATGGTCATAGAATCAAAATGCCCACACCCTCATCCACAAGCTACCTCATTCTTCCAGTAAGTAAGTTGTTTAAGGCAGTCAGACGAGGCTTGCAACCAATGAAGTTATCTCTAACGATTCATATTTCAAAGTACCATGCAATTTGCTCTCGATTACAGCCTGGTTCTGTATGAGCAGCTGCCACATGCTTCTGCTACCATACCTTCCCTACCACGACCGACTATACCCCTCCATCCATGAATCAAAATAAATTCTGCCACCTTAATTTACTTCCTTCAGGTATGTGCTCATTGTTACTGTAACAACCCATAAAGTGCAGACAGGCTGTTGGAATTGGTTTGCAGGGGGAATGTAACAGAATTTACAAACAGGTGCTAGGGAGCAAGAGCACATTCTGTTAGGAGACAGGTAAATTAGAAATTACGATGCCAGCAGAAATAGAGGCAGTAAACACTGTGTTCATGAAGTTCCAAAGGGGAACAAAGATTCTATAGGAAATAGGCCAAAGGCTAATCATGTTACATTCTGGGGGGGGGGGGGTCTGGCTACATTTTATCTGAGAATTTTAATGAGGCTGAATTCAAAAGTAATGAACTAATTTTGTTTGGAGAAGGAAACTTAAAGATATCCTAGCATTCCGGTTACTGCATGGGTGGTGCTCATTGCCTTTAGCCTGGTTTATAGCAAGAACTCTAAGCAGAAAACAGAAGAATATGTAAAATGTGCAGTTTGATAAGGAAAGGGTGTTAGAAGTTAGACATGACAAAGCTGCTGCAAATGTTGAGGTAAGGGCAGTAAAGAAGAAACTGCATGCTGTACTGACACATTAAAAATAGTTTTTGTCAGGCTTAAGAGTTGGCTCATGGGTTAAGAGTGTTTGCTGATCCTTAAGAAGATGAAAATTTGGTTCCTAGCTTGCATATTGGGTAGCTCATGGCCACCTGTAACTCTAGCTCCAGGAATGCAACCCTCTTCTGGTTTCTGAAAACAACTACACATTCATGGTGTCTTAATGGCAACATCACACCTATAAAAGACTCAGCATTATAAAACTAAACATTTGTTTGAAAAACTTTCAGTTGACAGCAGAATGTCTGAAAAACGAGAATACCTCTGTAAGAGTTCTCTGCTCAAAAACTGGCTGCCTGGAGAAGTATACTGCCTGAGTTAAGCTGTGAAGACATGTGGCCACTACAGCCACAGCAGGACTCAGAGTCCAATTTTGCAGGCATGAAAAATACAAGGGTTCAAGGGTCATGAAGACTTACACCAATGTTTCAGAAGAGGTCAAGCAATGTGTGGCAAGGGCAGATTCACTGAAAGGAGAATCTGTGTGGTCACTGTGTAAAATTAAGGTAAAGCCTAAATTTCAGTGATGACCCCAGTGTGCTGAAAATGTCAGCGATACAAGATGTCTACAGAGAGAAGCTGCAAGGAATAGAGGTGTAGAGTGAGGTCACCTAAAGACCAGTGGGACCCACGTAAGGTAAGGGTTCAGATGCCAGACATGGGCTACTGGGCTTGGTCTTTCCATGTTAGGTCTCCATTCCTTCCTTTGGAATAGGAGTGTTTATTCTCTGTCACTGTAGACTGAAACCTGATTTCTTTTTAATTTATAGGGACTCACATTTAAGAGATTGCCTTGAGTCTCAGAAAAGGCTGGATTTTTAAACAAAGCTTAAACTGTAGACTTTGGAACTTTCAAAGTTGAGCTGTATGTATTTGACCATAAGTTTATGGAGAGCCAGAAGCAAAATGCTATGGTTTGAGTATGAAATGTCCCCTACAATCTCATGTGACTGCTAAATTCAGTTTCTCACTATTTAACTTTCCAAACAAGTCAGAAATTGGCAAGATGAACTTCAAAAATGATCCAATTATATACCTCAAATGACTCCTTCAGATTTAAAGACAAAAATGTCATTCATTCATTCATTCATTCATTTATTTTTGAGCAAGAACTGCTCAAAAAACTGCTGGGGGTCGGGGACCAGACAAACAAGGAGGAAGTAACAAAGATAAGAAACTGATGGTTCAGTGGTTAAGAACACTTGTTGTTCTTGCAAAAAAAAAAAAAAAAATTATATATATATATAAATTAATATATATATATTGATTCCCGGCACCCATACAGGGGTTCACAACTATCTGTAACTCCGGTCCCAGGGGAATCCAATGCCCTCTTCTGGCATCTGCTAGTGTTGTGCACATGTGGAACACAGACACGCAGGCAAAACACTTATACATAAAATAAAAAACAATTTTAAAAAGAGTAAAAGTTGATAAATCTGAAAAAAAAGGAACAATGAAATTCAGTTCTTGATCTATCTGAAAGCAAAATCAGCATTAAGTGACAAAACAGAAAAAAACACAGAAAGAAAAACAAAGGAGGTCACAAACTTCTTATACTGGAAATCAAAATGGTAGTAACACAGTCTGTAACATCACAAGAAAAAGAATAACTGAAAATATATAAATCTGTTGATTTAGATTACCTGGTTGCGCTGAAAACTAAATTACTATGTCTTAAACAACAGAAGTTAACAATACTATATAATTAATGATGAAATTAAATTTCATCATTAAATTAAATTTGTAATTTAAGTGTTTTCCTGTCAGATTTAAATGGAGAAATTTTCTAATGTCTGGCAGAAAAGTCATAACATCACCTCTTTTCAAAAATAAAACACGGTAAGTAACAAGAATATAAGCCAATATTCCCTATGGCACAGACGTGGAAACTCTTAAGCAAAAAAATTACCAAATAATATTCAATATATAGTAATTCTTCCCTATCAGGAGCTTTTCTTCCCAAGCTTTTACCCACTGTTACCTGCAGTCTAAAAGTATTAAATGGGGGCTGGAGTGATTGGTCAGTGAGTAAGAGTGTTGGTTGTGCCAGCATGAGGACTTGAAATTAAAATCCCAGATGTTACTCCTGACACACATGTAAGCACAACACACACACACACACACACACACACACACACACACACATATATCCTGGGCATGGCCATGTATGCCTGTAGTCCAAGCATTAGAAGGTGGAGACAGACTGGCCCCAGCAACTCAATAGCCAGCACAGCTGAAATGACCGTGTTACAGGTACGGTAAGAGACTGTTTCAAGTGAATAAAGTAAAACATATTAAGTCCTTCTGTAGCTCCCATTCATAAGCCAATAAGTACACGCATTATATACACAAATGCATATAAAGCACACAAATTCAACAAAAAAAAAACCACAAAAAAACTATTCTGTACTATTCTAAACAGCATGATAAATGTCACCTTCTCATCCAAAGAATCCCTTTATTCTGTTTAGTAACTACTTAACACCATGTTAGCTATCTCATTAACTGCGTAGCATTGTACTGTGTTCAGGTAACCTTTATGTGGCATTCCAATGCTATATTAAAATGCCCAATAGTCTTCATTCACCCCACCTCACCTCATCGAATCTCATCTTGTAGGCAGTGAGCCACCTCAAATCATCATCACAGGAGTACAATATGATGAAGTATGTTGAGAGAGAGGTAGGCCATGTAAAAGTTATTATAATATTGTTAAAGCTGTCTTACTTCTGCTAATCTCTTACTGTTCAGTTAAACAGATTATCAATATTTATATATGGGGGAAAGTTAGTTATATATACGGTATAATAGTATCCATACCATAGTTTCAGATACCAGTAAAGATCTTAGAACATAGTTCCTGAGGATGGGGGAAGGGGAAGCACATGGGCAAACAATGACATACTGTACAAAATTATACACCATAACCAAGTGGACTTTGCTCCAGAATCCAAGACTATTTCTGTATTAGAAGACTAATCATTGTGAACCATATTAGCAAACAAAAAAAGATAAAATATTCGACAAAATTCTATAGCCAGCTGGGCATGGTAGGTAGCATACACCTTCAATCCCAGTATTCAGAAGTCAAGGGGCAGGACTGGGAGTTCCTGGCCAGCCATGTATACATACCAAAACCCTGCCTAAAAAACAAAACACAGAAACTAAACCCATGCATAATGAAAATCTTTCAGAAAAATAAAAGGG